GCCCCAACCCCTGCCCGGGCGCTGCCCCTTCTGCTAGCCCGGCTCGGAGCCCTCCGCCCCAACCCTGCTCCCGGCCAGCCGGGTGCCGAAACGCGGGGACCTGCTTCTTACCCGTGTTTCTCCCTTCTCTTCTACTGCTCAGCCCCGTCGAAGGGCACGCGGTCCGCTTTTCTCGCCGCGCTTTTATTTTGCCGAGGAAAAACTGCAGCTTGGGTTTTGCGCTTGTCATCTCGGAGTCCTTGTCAGTCCTCCAGGACTCCTAGACGTCCGCCGACATAAACCAAGGAATTCCTGTCCCGACACTTCTGACGGATCGGTACAAATAGAACCTGGTGTTGACCTCTGCAGGCTGGAAAGCAGCAATACAGAGGCCGAGGAAAAGTGCTAGTGTCGCGTTTAAGTTCCCCTGTAATCGTTTGTACAACGTTTCACCTCCAAAAAAAAAGCACCAGGAAGCATGAAAGCAGAGTAAAGTGAATACTTGCTACATCCAGGGATCAAGAGATGCTGCCTCCGTTTCTGTCACCTTCCTGACACCGGAAAAATCATGTCTGCACCTTTATTTGTCCCCTTCCATCTCGGTTTTTTTCTCTAGACAGTTGACAGATCTTTGGGACACAGATCAGCTCTCGCATAGCATAAAGAGGTTACTGTGATAGAGGTAATGTTGTCGCTACTGTTGCAAAGCGTCCTTCTTGTTTCCCAACCAGCTTTTAATTAATGCAGTACACACACGCATACACACAAACCTGGAATAAGTAATTGCCTTTTCTTTTTTTTTACATTGATATTTTATATAAATCTTCAAATCCAGAGAAGCTGGCAGCACTTCACAAACCACAAGCTGAATCTTGTCAAGTGGTGAGAATTCTAATCTTGATCCAGAAAAACAGTTATGCACATGCCCAACTCCAAACATATGGCAGTCTTACTGATTTGCGGGCTTGAAATCTCCTATCCCTCCAGCAAAGAGAGCTGCAGAGAACACACTTTGCTACAAAAGAAGCCAGGAAGGATTGACACTGGTTAAATACTCTGAATGAAAGATACCAGAAAGTCCAGAGTTAAAAGACCTGTTTTCTTCAGATATCATTGAAAGAGTCCTGTTATACCGTGTGTGCAACTCAGCTTTCCTAGAAGGGCTGAACTGTGTGTTGCCTCAGACTGTATGGCCCTGCAAAGTGAAGAGAGTGGATATGATGGTTGTCTGTTGATGCATCAACAGGCAAGGTGAAGACCTTTGAGAGATAAGGAAAGGTTTAAGTATAAGGGTGAATTAGCTATAAATAAACAGCAGAAAATGATGGCTATACCTATTAGAAAGGGAGAGCCTGGAAGCGCATTTCTATGGGAACACCAGAGACAAAACTAAACAAATCAGACTGTCAGGTGTTAGATGATGTGATGCATGAAAGAGCAGAGGAATTAATTTGATGACTCAGCCCCATTTCCCTCATACGATAGGATTTTGGCCTAGAATGGCTCACTGCAGCAGATAGGTGGGTAGGCTTAGCAAGTTCAAACTGCACATTTCGTCATACCTTACCAGAACTGCCTCTATCACTACCTCTGGTCTTCCGTTCTCCTTGTCTTCCCATCTGCCTTCCCTCTCCTCTGCACTGGCTGTGACAGACCACCTTTTTTGGCAGCTGCACAGCCGGGAAGTGCGTATGTGCTGGCTGGGGGGATGCCTCACCTGCACTAGCTGGCAAGCTGGTGGAAGGCATGAGAACCTCTCTCAGGCACCCAGTGATCCAAACATCATGGTGTCTCCCGACCATCCAACAGGCCAGACAAATTGCTTAATCAGCCAAGCGTGTCCTGCAAGCCAAATATTGTTTAAGTCTGGTCTAGAACTTTCCTCAGCTCTTTCAGTCTGCCTTTTTGTTGCAGGCTTCAAGAAGCAACATGCAGCTGCACAGCCACCACTCCTCTAAATTCTGGTGCACTTCTCTGTATTTAGTAGGCATTGTGCAAGCTGTGATGTTGCCTGTGAATTCATTTCTGTGATAAGACCTTGAGAACACATTGGGGCTGCCTCGCTCTCTGGAATACAGAGGCTGCTTCAGAGGTGTAAAGAGTTGTTTGTCATGTCTGACTCATTCCTGTTCCTTCCTTCAGGGACTTGCCATGGGGCTTTGACATGAATCTCACATTGGTCACAAGATGACTCAGGAAATCCTGAGTCTCCCAAAAACCAAAATGAGGAATACCTGACATCTCTGTGTAATAAACGATTTTAATCCTGGTAAAGACCCTCAGAAGCATTGTATCAGATTCTAGTAATTACAGATGCTCTTACGTTCCCTTGATCTATATTGCCCGTAAACACCTTTTTTTTTCTACCTTTCTTCCTGCACGTACATCTTCAACATCATGGAACCTCTCTCTATCTATCATACAGCTAGATTTCTGCTTCCAGGGATCTGAACTTTGGCCAAACCTCTCTGTTATGAAGATAACACACCTTCATAACCTTCTTTGTTTCTTTTCCCTCCCTTTCATTGAAATATAACACGTTTTGTAAGAGTCCTCGACTGAAACCATCAGACAAAACAGCAGATTCCTCATCAATTTCTTGGGTAGAACCAGCAAGAAAAAAAGAAGGCAAACACTTTAGACCAAAATTTTCCTTCCCGTTAGCATTTACTGCCAGTCCTGTCTCCAACATATCAGCTAGGCATGTCCCTGGTGAGACAGAAAGCTGACAGCAAGGAGCGAAGGGAACTGAAGAAAAGGTGAGTTCAGGACGAGCCATTAAGAAGGAAATGAACAAAGATGTAGGATGGGCGGGCTTTGATGAAAGCAAGAGTTGTTTGGGGCTTAAAGAAAGCATGTTCCAGAGCACAGATTAACTTCTGTTTATATTAGTCCTGTTCTTCCTATGAATGCCTTTTCCAGGTCTGCTGTATTTCCAGCTTTACCCCTGAGTGAAGCTCCTGTATGTTCAGTTGAGTGTTTGTGCCTATTGATTTGTTTCCCTGAGAATAGTTTATGGTTTTGTTTTTTGACCTCACTTCTCTCATTTACAGCCTAGCCCTTAGAAAGGGTCTTTCTGTTTAATTCTGATGTCACTTTCCTGAGAGAAATGGCAGGCACCAAAGAAGGGAGCTGCCATTTTAGAAATAAGGAAGGCCCGGATCTTTGGTAACCCTGAACCTCGTAGAAGGAGAAAGAAAAGGATAAAGTTAATGAGATGGGAGGAAGTATAAAGTGGTTTTAGTGATGGATGATGCAGTTTGATAATAGCAGATCCTGGGGTAAAACAGGCACTTAAGCTTTTTCACAGGTAGTAGCAGAACCTGAGACTAGAAAAGACAAATAATACCTGATATCCATAAAGAGAACGATAAGGCAGGAACCTTACTTGAAACCTTGGACAAAGGCAGAATTATTCAAGAGGAGCCTGCTTTTCCAAGATACAATCCAAACCATCTTGCTTACCAAAGCCAGGCTTTCACATCAGCTTCTGAGCTCACAGCATCAAAGAAGTCATTGCTTCAACAATGAAGCCACTTTTAAAGCATTTTAGAAAAAAAAACATACATCAGTGCATAAAAGCTGATGAAATGGCTGGAGAACGCAGTTTCAAGAAGCACAGCATGCAGTGGACATTGGATTGCTTAGTCCCTCAAATACTTATTTTACTTTTAAAGGCTTTAACAGTTAAGGAATGGCATTTCAAAACCAACCTATCCCAGAGCAGCGTTGGACAAATAGTGGTACTGTTGCCCAGCTGTTCAGGGATAGGGCTCGGGGGGGGTCTGCAGGCACTCAAATTCTATGGCCATGACTTTAACATAAAAAAAATTTTTTTTTTTTAAAAACTAGCCTGGCTTTACCCAGGATGGTCCGAGAGTAGTTTTCAGTTACAGTCCTTCCAAGTCCATTCCTGTGGCTCTCAGCAATGGAGTCAGATAGGTCCCTTCTTTAGGGTGTTTTTACACAGCCACTGAAGAGGGTTTGTAATCCTATACAGGAAACAGCAATAACCTTTTGGTGAAGATTTCAATTACTGTTTGTGGATTTGTAGTCCTGGCTATATTTATATATTACTGAACAGTGTATATTTCAGAACAGTCAAAAGCTGAATAGTGTCTGCAAAGCAAAGTTAATGATATATTTTTATTCCACATGAAAGTTGAGGGAATTAATTTATTAGCAGAAAGGTGCCACAGGAACCAAAGACATGTTAATCACAGTCTTGCAATGCTGCAGATGGGGATTAGAATCCATTGTATTAACACATCAGAAACCAAACTCCTTGAGTGTACTTCAAAAAGCACAGTGAGGGAACATGCCTAGTGTTCTCCTTTATGGCTTACATAGCTGCTTAAAAACAGATGAACAGCACATCTATGAAAGCAATAAGGAACCATGCAGGCATATCTGAGGCATGCCATTTAATAAAATAACAGAACAAGCTAGAGAAAAAGGAAAATATGATCTCTTTTTTCCAAACCCAGCTGAGTGAGAGAAGAGGTAGCTACGTGGAGCACGATAACACACCTTCCCTTCCAAGTACTCACAGTGCTGAGACGCAATGTTAATCACAGCTGAATGTGCAGCTCCTTTATCCCCTTTCTTTTTTCCTATTTTGATAGGCAGTGAAATAGCTAACGATGTCTATATTTAAAATATCAGCACAGGGCATCTGAGTTGGCTAGCACTGAGATGAACTGGGCACGTCAGAGTTATTGTTTCAGATTCTGCAAGCACAGTCAGACATCACCATGTCAGCCTGGAAAACAAATCAAATGCATCTCAGCAACCATACCATCCAGGGTTTCTCAATTACGCTTATTAATATTTATAGATAAGTTTAGATTTTGGGGAACAAAGCAGTGCGTATGAAAATACTCGCCCTGTTCAAACCCTCAACAGAATGTCTAAAGTGCTGCACAAACACTAACGCTACCAGTATCACACCAAACCAGGCATAAGATGCAACCTCATTTTATAGGTGGGGAAAGTCAGGTACATTTTTTGGACACAGTGTTATTGCAGAACTGGGTGTATAGACAATCTTAGAACCCGATCATGGTCTAGCACTGCAGTAACTCAGCTAACTTAATTTCTGACCTAGACTTGGAAGAGACTATCAAAGTTACACAGCGAGCTGGTGTCAGTGCTGGGATTTGTCCTGCTTACACTGTTTGTCAACAGAGCCCAGCTGTCTAAGAAGAGGAAAAACACCTTGAGTCTGGGGCCAGCTCTGCAGAGGCCCTG